AATAATTTGCAAAAGCGGGTTGTTTTTCACACAACATTGGTATCAAGGAGAAATAACACATTAATCTGAATGGAAAGTTGCCAAAACCTGCTCCTTTTTACTTTTGGGAACTTCCTCAAGTAAAAAGGAGCGGGATTTGGAGACTTTCCGTTTGGGTTAATGTCACGTTATTTCTCCTTTACACAAACACGTCTGAAAAACAACCCACTTTGTGGTGGTTGGGGGGTGTTCAGATTTTTAAATCCCATTTCAGCACAGGATTTAAGCAATTTGCCTCCGTGTGATAAGGTCCTTGGACTGTGACTCTGGAGACCAGGATTTGATTCCCAGCTTGGCCCACTGGGTGACCTTGGGTGAGTCACATGTTCACAGCCTCAGGGGAGAGCAATGACAAACCTTCTCTGAACAAATAATGTCAAGAAAACCCCATGATAGGTTCATCTTAGGGTTGCCAGAAGTCAGAAATGACTTGACGGCACTCAACAATAACAAAATCCCCAGTGCTATCTGTTGAACCTGTTGGAATAGCAGTATTTTTTTTTTTTAGTTACACAGATACCAAAGGCTGCCTCTGCAGTGCAGAAATGCCATTTGCCACACTTTAATTGCCATGCCCCCATCCTATGGAATCCTGGGATTAATAGTTTGTTGTGGCACTAGAGCACTCTGACAGAGAAGCATAAACAGCTCACAAAACTACAAATCTCAAAATTTCATAGCACTGAGCCATGGCAGTTAAAGCGATGGCAAACTGCATTACTTCTGCAGTACAGATGCAGCCTACATCTGTACTTTTCACTGCATGTAGCAGTTATGCTGACTTTTTTTTAATGATGATCAGTCATCCTAACTTTTTTCTCAACCTGTATACCTGAAAGGTCATGCAATGATAGACAATAGTTTTATGGCATTTTTAAAAAAAATCTTTTTTTCCCCATGGGGCTTAGGGAATGTGCAAAGAAACATACCTTGCAATGGAAGCAAGTGCTTGCAAACAAAGGAGCTGATGCTTTTCAGCCACAGGGTTTTATTTGGGTGTTGTTGGGAGTTTTATTTTGGCTTTTAAGTGGATCAATCAAATAACCAGAGCTTGTGATACGATCTGTGATACCCAAAGCCAAGTAAAGCTGAAGAATCTCAGCAGACAGACTTATGAAGACAGAATCTGAGCATGCTGAGTTTATGCATTCACAACTACATCAAAAAGGACCACTACTCTTTGAACCTCCTTTGCACAGTCAAAAAGTCCTTACAGATTTTCTCTTAGGCTCACTAGGAAACAGGAGGATACTAAAAAGAGAGCACGAGTATATAAATCAGTTGAGAAAGAGTGCTTGGGAAGAGTAAGATCTCTCAGTTGTCTTCCAGCAGATACCTAGGACTTTATCACACCTAGACATCTCTTGTCATGGGTGTAGATGAGAGAGAGAATAGGATTCAGAGACCTGAACACACATTACTAAGAGGTGATAATGTATTCCCACCCCAGCCCTAGCTCATGGGATAAGGGGGAATGGAAGGAAGGAGATTGGCATTACAGGAATCAATGACTTTCCGACTACAGGGGGTTTGTAACATGAAGCCCAGATGGTTGGGTGTTATCTCTCTTTCTTGGACAAGAGACAAAAAGATAGCAGCTGTGGCCCCTGGTTTTCCAAAGTAGCCTAGTGTCCTGTTCCCCTTTATCCAAACCCACTAGAGAATGAGACTCATCTATACGGTCAAATATGAAAAAATTGCTTAAGATATGAACAGATGTACCGGTATTAACACTTGAAAGAGTGGATGCTAATAGGTACTATAGAGGATAACATTGAAAGTTTTTATGAAGCCAGACAATCATTACATTTAAGAAGTCAAAAATGTAAAAGATGAACACTAATCAAAGATTAGTGAAATGAACAGGCATTCTTTGTTACAATTTTCTTTTCTTTTCTCTTTATTACTCTGTACTAATATATGTTGATATAGAGGTGTTAAACAAAATTTTATTAGTAAACATAACATAACATAGTCAAAATAAACATCACACAGCATAAAACAATTAATAAAATAAAAGAGACATACAAGCCCTTTGAAGATTGTTTTCCAATCATTCCATGTACTATATTCCTATAGATTTTTTTAAAAAAATGCATTTTAAAAAAACCCACTAGATAACCTGTCTTTCAAGCTTCTAGAGTTTCATACACTGTCTCCCCTCATTTTAGTTCTTCACTGAAACGGGAGCTACTATAACCTCTGGACTCAACATCACTCCTCTTTCTCATCCTTCTCCTTTCCCTCTTTCCTAAGACAATGATTCTCTCTTACTAGAAGTATCAGAGGGTCTCCTGGTACCCAGGACTCTTGACCATAACTCACTCTTCTTCCTCTGCCTTCCTCTGAACCCAGGCATCTTGAACTTACCAATCCCTTGTTGAACTCATGGGTGCTGGAAGGTCTTGCCTTGGTCTGTTGAATGGTCCAGAGGCAGAGGGAAGCCAAGAGAACAGCTTGCAACAGCATCTTAGCTGGTAGCTTGTGTGCCAGTGATGCTTTCAGCCACAGCCTTCCCCACCTCTCCCCTCCCTTCTTCCTGTCTCACTTCTCTTCTCTTTCTCCACCCTTTCTGGGCAGTTTCATTGAGAGGAGAAGGGAAAGAAAATATAGGAGGGAGGCCTCTTGGGTTTCCTAGTAGAGGAAGGGGGATGGGGGGGGAATCAACCACCTATGGAGCACAAGAGATTGGATTCCTGAAAGGTAGAGCCAGCATGGTGTAGTGCAGGGACCGGCAACCTACAGCCCGGGGGCCGGTTAAGGCCCTGGGCCCCAGACTTACCGGCCCAGGCCATAGGTTGCCGCCACACGCTGCTGCCGCCGCCGCTCACCACTGTCGGGGCGCGTTTTCGGCCGCGCTTGGTGTGGCTGCCATTTTGGAAGTCAAAATGATGGTCGCAACGCATTTGCGCATGTGCAGTACTCTTGCGCATGCGCAAATGCATCGCGGCTGCGATTTGGACT